GAAGGCTTTGTTTCCATTTTCCCTTCTATTCTTTTGTTTCCTTTTCCCCTCCTTCCCTTCGCCCTTCCTTTGTTGCCCTTGAACATGTTCTTCCTACTTCCCAATATCTCATCTGTTTCAGTCCTTATTTATCGTTCCACTTCCTTACACAAGAGAAACAAGGCTGTATATAAACATTTGTGTCTGATTTATTTCACCTAAAAGTAAGATTTCAAAGTGCATGCATTTATTTACCTAGAAATCTTTCAGGTTCATCCTGCTTTATGGCAGAGAAGTGCTCCATTGTATATAAGAGCTGCATCTTTATCCACTCATCCATTCAGGAGCATTTAGGTTGTTTCCAAGATTTAGCTATTATAAATTGTGCTGCTGTAGACACAGGTGTGCACATAGATCGCTGTAGTATCATCCTTTTGACTCTTTCAAGATCCCAAGACAGCTAGGTCAAATGGAATCTGTAGTTTTAGTTTTTTGAGGCATCTCTACCCTGGTTTCCCCGGTGGTTGCATCACTCAGTACTCCCACCAACAGTGGAAGATAAAGCTTCCTTTTTCCCACAGCCCTGCCAGCATTTGTTATTGGTTGATTTTTTTTTTTTTTTCTTTCCTTCAATCAGATTTTATTGGTACTTTTTGTTTTTTGTCTGAGACAGGGTCTCTGTGCAGTTCAGGCTGGCCTTGAGCCCAGGTTGGTCTTGAACTTGAAATGATCCCCCTGCCTCAGCCTCTTAAATGCTGGGATTACTGGTGTGCGCCACCAGGCCCTGCTGCATTTTGTACTTCATCTGAGAAGTGTCTGTCATCTCAGATGCCTATTTTTAGATTGGGTCTTTAAATTTGGGAGTTTTTTGTTTTTTTTTTTTAGTTGCTTCTATATTCTAGGTGTTACTCCTTTGTCTCATCAGTAGTTGATAAAGGTCCCCCCCCCCCCATTCTGTGGGTTGTTTCTTCACTCTGTTGGCAGCTTTCTTCTCTTTTGAGACTTAAAAGATAAGTGGATGAAGCAGCGTGCGAAGAACATTTGAAGCTGGGATCAGAGTGAGAGTGAGAAAGAGTGAGGGCGGGAGAGAGCCTTGAAAAAGTTTAGTGTGTCTGGGTCTTAGACTTGGGCTGGAAGGGGAGCTGTGGTGATGAAAAATGATGTTGGAGAGGTAAGCAGGGCTTGCAGGGCATTAAAACTAATATTTTTTGGGGTCAGAAGACCTTTACTGATGGGAGAAATGTGGGTGTTGTAGGCATTCAAAATCTTAGCACTTGGGAGGCTGCAGCAGGAAGATCGGGAGTTTGAGGCCAGTCTGGGATATAGAGAGAACCCATCTCAAAAAAAAAAAAAAAAAAAAAACAGAGTCTGGGAGATAGCTCAGTAGATTAAGCACTTGCCTGGCAAGCACAAGGGCCTGAGTTCAATCCCCGGTTCGGAAAAAAAAAAAAAGCAAACAAAAATGAGTGGGGGAAAAAAGGGGGGGGGGCTGGCCTTAGCTCAGGTCTTTAAGTGGCTGCTTCCACAAAGCTGTCAGCCTCAGGTTGCTGTAGTTCGATCCCCACAACACTCCAGCCAGCCAAACCACCCCTGAGGGCATTCGGAGCAAAAAAAAAAATGAGTGGGGGAAAAACAAATGGATGGGACCCCCCCCACCCCACCCCACACACGTGCACACATGCATGCGCACACAGTTAAAAAAAAATGCTAGAACCCAAGGTCTTTGCACTGAATTGCATCTCCAGGTTTTTAAAATTTTTTGAGCCAGTATTTCACCAAGTCACTGAGTTCCCAGATGAGCCCCAATTTGCAGTCTTTTGCCTAAGCCTCCGAGAGTGCTGGGATTACTGGTTTGCAGCAGAATAATGGGTTGCAGGTGTGTGGAGCCATGCTTTCTTTGGATGTAAGGATGGAACCAGGCGAGGGGTGTTGAAACAGGGGACCAGTTAGGAGGCTGCTAATTTATAGCACCCTGACCCCAGGTGGCGTGGGTGGTCAGAGAAGGGGACAGATCAAGTGTGCTTCACGGATAGAACTGGAAGTTGCCAGAAGATCCGAGATGAGCAGGCGTAGTGAAGTTTGCTTTGAAGTTTTTGACTTGGGCAGTAGAGTGAAAAGCAGGGCCTTTAACTAAAAGAAAGTAAACTGGAGAAAATAAGTTTTGGGGAAAATATTGTGATTACATTTTAGAAGTGTATTTAATTTTGTGGACATTGAGTTCAACAGAAAACTAAGAGTTGGATTTTACAGACAAGTATGAGAACTATAAAGATCTGAGAGAACATATAAAAGTGCTTCTTAAAACTTGTTTATTTTTTTCTTTTTCATTTTATGTGTTTAGTACAGGGTCTCACTATGCATCTTGGACTCATAGTGATCCTCTTTGTTCTCAGCCTCCCCAGTGCTAGGAATACAGGCAGGCGTCACCATGCCCTGACTCTGTGGCTTGGTTGGTGCACCCCAGGAGTGGGGCTCGCACAGCATGTGGGATCAGGGATTGAACCCAGGTCCCTACACTTGCCAAAAGCAGGCACTTAGTCCACTGAGCTATCTCACCGGTCCTAAAATTCATATTTTGAAAGAAAGAGTTTTGTCAGTATATTAGACCATAAACTTTCAGTAAAGATATGAATTTTCTTTTCATACAAGTACAGACTGATACATAATTCCAGAGTTTACAAAAATGTACATCTGTAAAACTAAAGTTATAGAGTGAAAGAAGAGGCCTAGAGCAAAACCCTGAAGAGCCTCCGCCTTTATGGAGACTGTATAAGAATATTTGGTGACTAAAGCGCCTGCTTAGGCATGCAGGGGCAGGGGTTTGATTCCCGCCGTGCCGTGCTGGCCCTGTCCCCGGGGTATGCTGGGACAGCAGTTAAGACTGGATGTGGTGGCACGCTTCTGTAATCCCAGCACTTGAGAGGTTGAAAACAGGAGAATCACTATGAGTCTGATCAGTGTAGTGAGACCTTGTAGATTCTGTACTAAATACATTTAAAATAATAAATAAATAAATAAATAAATAAAATAAAATACATTTAGAAAAAAGTTTTGGCAGAGAAGACTTGGAATGAGTTTCATGCCCCGTATGAATGTGCTGTTAGACAGGCCCATTGGATGTGTTTGCTAATGATGTCAGCAGGGCCTTGGCAAAGTAGGTAGGGGCTGTGGTTGATGCAGGGATTAGAAGGGGGTTAAGAAGTGGAGTTGGAAAGTGCTGTTTACAGTTCTTTGAGAAATTTAATTATGTAAAGGAAGAGGTCCCTGGAGGGAACTTTGCCATGGGACCTTAGCAGGTTTACATGCTTACAAGATGTTCAGAGGAAGAGACAAGGCAGAGGAGTGTATTTCAGTCCTCAAGGTGGGTTGGGAGATTCAGAACACATTCTTAGATATTGTAATTAAAAAAAAAAAAAAAAAGGAAGAAAAGAATGAGTATGGACACAGTAGTTTGTGGCAAGAAGAGGAATTCTATTTTCTATCTCTCCCGTTAGATGTGAGATCATTTCACATCATGAACAATAGAATAGTGGTTTTAAAACATTACTTCATTAATAATGAAAATTATAATTTGAATTTGTGTGTGTGTGTGTGTGTGTGTGTTACATGTATTGACTTTTTTGGGTTTTTTAGACAGGCTGTGCAGTTCAGGCTGGCTGTGAACTCACTGTGTAGCCCAGGCTGACCTCAGACTTGCAGTGATCCTCCTGCCTCAGCCTCCCAAGTGTTGTGATTACAGGCATGTGTGACCATGCCCAACTGTGTTGATCTTGAATAATCAGTTTATATGAATGATAAAAGTTTGAGGAGGAGTTCTTCTAAATCCAGCTTATGATGTGGTATTTGTTGTGGCCCTGGTTTTCATATTGAATTTTTTTTGTGTTTTAAAAACAAAACTGTTTCTAAGACAAGGACTAAACGAGCTCAGACTAATGTCAGCATTTTTTTGCTTACTTAATAAATTAATTCCTTTTTTTTTTTAAATTTTTTTTTATTTTTTATTTATTTGAGAGAGAGAGAGCGAGAGAGAGCGAGAGAGAGCGAGAGAGAGAGAGAGAGAGAGAGAGAGAGAGAGAATGTGGTGTGTGTGTGTGGCCAGCTCAGCCCACCAGGGGCCGGGGCTGGCTGGCATGTGGTGCTGGGGGATTGAACCGCGGTCCCCGTGCTTTGCCAAGCTTGTTCCAAGTAGGTGCTTTAGACCACTGAGCCATCTCTCCAGCCCCAATTAATTCCTTTATGGTCTTCTGAAGAATTTTTTTATTTGAAATTTTTAAAGTGATTCATTATATCTAGATTTATCCCCAAGTTTATGCTAATTGTAACTAATCAGGCCATTAAAACTGAGAAAGGGGAAGAAGTTAGATGTTACATTTGCTATTTTATAGATTAATTATAAATACATAGAAATTTATCTTTTTCTTCACTTTTCAAGATTGAGGTTTATGATTTTGTATAAATTTCTATACTATAAAAAATATCCTTTTTTTTTTTTTTTTTTTTTGGCGGAACCGGGGATTGAACTCAGATCCTTGTGTTTGCCAGTCAAGCGCTTATCCTACTGAGCCATCTCCCCAGCCCCCTAAAATGTATCCTTTTAAAATAGGCAACTTAGTGCTTTTTTACTGTATTCACAGATTGTGCATACATCTAACTTTTTAAAGGACAAATTGATAGTGGTCCATTTTAACATTGAGCTAATAATTTAAGGAAAGATAATACATCTTCCCGTGGCATTTAAATAGAGAATGGAATTTAAAAGAAAATCTCATCTATATCAGGAAAGCTTTATCTTATTTTTTATCTTTTTAACTATGAAATTATTTCATCCCTAAAGTAGACAACCTAAATTTATATATCCTTACCTCAGAACTATTTTTTTCTGCTTCTACCTGGTTTCTCTGAGATCACGATGATAAGTAGATAGGAATCAATGGGTCCCGGTTAGAATGTCAGCTTTGCACAGATTCTTTCTGTCAGCCATTTCTGGTAATCGTTGCTAAAGTTGCCACCGTTAGTGTTCAGCTGTCTTTTGTTTGCTGGTTGGTCTTTAATCAAAGTTCATGATCATACTCATACCTTACTGTGTAGGTAGGACTTAATTATCCATGTTGTTTTTAGTGGTTTAAAATGAAACAATGACATCTTACCATTTTATTTTAATTTTTCCCATTTATTTTTTGTTTTACAGTACTCTGTGCAAAAAACTTGGTGAAAAAGGATTTTTTCCGTAAGTAAATTAACCTTATAAATCTTGTGTATCCTGTGTAGATTTTTTTTCTTTTTTTGACAACATTCATAAGTGTCAGGTTTAGGGATTTCTAAATTTAGAAATATATTCTGTTATTTTATGAATGCTTTGATTCAGGTTCTTTGACATTACATTTCTCTGGGGGATTTGATTTTTTTAGCTCTCGCCTTGTTTCCTTTATGTATCCTTCATACATGTTTATGTAAATGTGTGTGTATGCAGATATGTGATGCATATAGAAGTTGTGTGTACTATTAGGTTTCTAGAAAAGGTTTAGGAAATATTTTGCAAATACCACTTTAAGAATGTTTTAAAGGAAATTTTACCTTTGTAATCAAGATTCATTGAAAAGTAGAAAAGTCACTGAAGCTGCTTGGAATTTGTGTACTTACAGGAAAGAAATCCATGTTTGACTGCAAATGGCACTTGTGTCTCTGATTCCAGAGCAGATGCTTGGCGACATTGTCTACAGTTGGGAACAATTGGCTATGGAATATTTTGTGGCTTTATTTAGGCTTAAATTTTGAGAGGGTTTGGAAGTACCATGCATGTTGCAAATCTTAACCTAATAATACTAGAGAATAGCTTTAAATTATTACAAACTACATAATGTTTATTACAAAATTTAAGCAAAATTTTATATGTAAAATATTTATACTTAAAGATTTTTAATTGTATTATTTTATTTATATGATACAGAATCTCACTATGCAGTTTGGACTCATAGTGATCCTCCTGTCTCAGCCTCCCTAGTTCTGGGATTACAGGTGTGTGCCACCACACCTGGTTCCAGGGCAGGACATCATTCAGTATTGGGCACCGAACCCCAGGACCTTGCACTTGCCAGGCAGGCACTTATTCTGCTGGGCTATCTCCCTAGCCCAGAGATTTTTTAAGAGATTGTTTTAAAATTCAAGTTCTACCATGCAGCAAAAAACATGCTGCTTTCTGGTTTAGTTTTACATTTTCAAGGATTTGATTTAAAAAATAATGAGCTCTTGATATTTTAAAATCATACTTAATTCATCCCTTTTGAAGTTTTAATTACTTCCCATCTTCCTAGACTAGAACCTGAATTAAAGTTTAAAAATATCAATCTTATAAAATTATAAATTGTTAGGTTATTTTTGTGTTTTTATGGGAAAGTCGTTAAATAGGATAATTTGAAACATGGGAAGAAAATACAAGCATTCTTACAAGCATAGACAGTGTACTGTGTGCCCCCCACCACGTGTCCCAGTAGGAGAACCCAGTGGCCAGACAGTTCCCCGTTGCTTTCTGCTGCCACAGTGTATGTCAGCTTTCATGTGATGCTCAAGTCCTATCTCTAGTAATGGAGGTGTACTTTTCCCTCACCTTTTTTTTCCCCTGTATTTTAGGGAAGGGTCTACAGAGTGCTCAAGGTCTCACTACTAGATCAAACTCTAGCAATCCGCCTGTTTATAGCCTCTCAAAAGCTGGGATTACAGGCTCACGCCACCATGCCCAGTCTTAGTTGCCCTCTCAGCCTGCCCCAGGGGCAGGGGCCCTTGCACAGCAGGCCGGGGGACCAAGCCCCAGCCCCTATGCCTGCTTGCAGGCATCTTAATCTGCTGAGCTATTTGTCCAGCCCTTCAAAAAACATTCTAAAAGTACAATAATACCATATAATGGCAAGGTTCTGGACCAAAAGGAATTCACATACCCAGTCTCAATTTCTGTCTCAGTGCGCCCCCTGGGGTGGGGCCGTCACGGCAAGCCTAGGTATTGAACCCCCAGCCTCTGCTCCTGTTTGCAGGCACTTTAATCCACTGAGCTACTTGGCCAGCCCTTTCCCTCACCTTTTTAAGGTTCATCATTGGTTGGATTTATCCTAGTGGAACTGTAAGTGAATAAGATTAGATAGGCTGGTGACAAGGAGAAAAGGGAGTGGCTGCTTTGGTACCTTCGAAGACATCTGCTGTGGGCTTTGTTTGTTTTTTTTTTGGGGGGGGGGCAGGCTCAGCCTACCCTGCCCTCAGGGTGGGCTGTGTGGCTTGGCATGTGGTGCCGGGGATTGAGCTGTTCTAACAGTGGTCCCCTGTGCCTGCCTAAGCTTGCCTAAGCAGGCACTTTAGACCGCTGAGCTATCTCACTGGCCCCACCTGCTGTGGTTTTTGAAGATGAGGTAGTCAGCTTTGTCTCTTAGCCTTCTTTAGTCAGTTCTCTTCCTTTCTCTAGAGTCTGAAGACACAGCTTTTCCAGTATAATACCCTGATAGTCTTATCTTAGAGGAATCTTTCATCAATTCTTTGTAAGCCTGTCTTTTTCTGTCCTTGAACTATAGGAAAAAGAAGGAAATCTTCTTGCCTTTTCATTAGTATAGACAATAAAAATGGAGGAAAAAAAATGTTTAGGAGTATAAGTTTGAGTTAGGGATAAGAAGATTAGGAAAAATTGTGATTATCTTTAAAACCCAGAATGGCAGATACCTGCTGTCCTGGAAGGGAAACAGCAAAGCCAGTCCTCAGGCACTCAGAAGGACATCATCAGCCAGGGATGGAAATATGTGACAAGTTCACTTTGGCCACTGTTCCAAATCCCTGTTGTAGTAGATTCATGTCTGTCCTTCCAGATGTTTTGGACATCATTGTAAGTTGAGATTTGCCATATTCAGAGAAATATAATTTCTCAGCTTTAAATCTGAGTATGTGTTTATTGATCAGAGTAGTTATTAATAGTAAGACATTGTCAGTTTTTTTGCTTGTGATTTAGTTTACATTCAATGAGAAAATAAATTTTAATGTGGAACATTACTATAGGAGAATGAAATAGATATATATTTATTTCATTACAGCAAAAAATTCTGCTATGTGCTGTCTTTTGTAGGGTAATTTATATTTGAGATGATTACTGTTCCAGAACATTGTCCTTGCTGAGGAAATTTTGTGGACTTACATTTTGAAACTAGTTTCAAGCCTGCTAGCTTTAAAAAACAAGTTAATCCTCTTTTGCCCCCAAATTTCATCAAGGAAGTGGTCAATTATAAAGCAATTGGTTAGAAATTTTTTTTTTAAAT